CGGCAACGCTGGGATTGGGGACGAGGAAGGGGGCTTGACTAGCAGTCGAAAGCTGCCACATTGCCTCAGCATTAACAGAGTCTTTAATAAACGCTTAAGAGGCAGCCCCGCAAATTAGTTATGACAGTTTGTGCAGAGAATCAGGTCTCCCCCACGCTCCTTCCGCCCTTCTCCTTTAAAGGGCCCATAGCCTGGACAACTTTGACATAATTTTGCAATAATTATCACTTGAAGAATTTCCACGCTGGAGTGGACGTCAGAACCCATCATGTCAGCTTGGCAATAAACGCTGACCAGCAAGCCCAGCACTTCCCTCCCCCCACACTTTTTCTTTGCTTTTTCCATTTATGCACCGGTGCTAGTGATTTAACTTACTTATTTGCCATTGTAACCTCATTTTAGACCTACATTTTTCATTTAATTTTTTTGCATTTAATTTCGGTGTCTTTCTTAAGCAGGGAATGGACAACCAGCAGCTCCCGGACGGTTCAATCCAGTGCAGGTGAAGCAGGAAGCTGTGGAGGCCATGGGATCGTCATCTGCCACCAGCCAGGACTCCTTGCAGGAGCACAGCCTGGACCTGAGCGTCAAGGATCACAGGTGAGAGAATTGCACAGGCAGGCACACTTAGTTCTGTCCAGCATGAAGCGCTGAGAAGTTTCTGTACCTGTAATATGAGAGGACAGAACATGTTGATGAAGGGCAGTTTCACAGTGGCCCAGTTGGATGCCCCCAGACTGGAGGCGGACAGGCTCTCGCTACTCCTCCTCAAGTGCGTGTCCTCCGGATGGTTTTTTCGGGCTCACAAGCACCTACTGACCCTTTGCCAAGAGCCTTAACCTCTTGCGCTCCCCCCTGCAAAATAGGCAAAGCTCCTTCTTTCACTTGGATACCCCTGTGGTTGTCATTAAAGCTGATTAAAGGCTGCTCTGGTGCCACGCTTGAGCACGCTTTGAGCAGGAGCATTTGCACTGAGGGAACGGGGCATTTGCATCAGGTCTAAGAGAGGCACCTTCCAGAGAAACTGGACCCACGAAACGACTGGATGTCAGGCAGCTGCTGGTCTGGGTCTGGCACGTGCTCATCTGTAGTCACAGTGTTGAAGCTGCACCTGCCTCAGAGCGTGTGTCCCACTTGTCCGGAGTCTCTGCTGAGAACAGGAGCATTTGGGGATTGTCCTGTGTGGAAAAACCACAGAGGAACTGATCCTGGAGGCAAGCGAGCCCGCTCCACTTTGACCTTTGTGTATGTTCCTTTCTGCACTGTATTTAAATGTGGGACCCCAGCACTCGTATTTTACTACAGCTGCTGCCGATGCGTGTGAAGGACAGAATCGTAGAATCATTAAGGTTGGAAAAGACCTCTGAGATCATCAAGTGCAAGGCTGCCTTCCAGCGTGCTCAGCTGTGCCCGCGGGGGTTGCTGCCTCTGCTGCCGAGCGGGGGCTGCGTGTTTGCAAAATCCCCCGGGTTTTGTGGTGTGTTGCTGAAAGTTCTAACGGGACGAAGGAGTAAAAAGACGGGGTGGTTGTGAGTCAGATGATAAAAAAAGCATGGTGGTGTGGGCACTGGAGGAAGAGGTGTGGAGTGTTTAATAGCTGAAAGAACTAAATTCTGCAGACTTGGGACCCTCTCTCTCTCCATCTTGGCTCTCACAAGTAAATGAGTTTGGCCTGCCCAAGGGAGGGTGGGCATCATTCTCCTCCTCCGGATGCGGCAGGTGAGGAGTGAGGCAGCTTGAAGGGAGAAGGATTAATCTCAGTGCTCGCAGTCCCTGTGCACATCTTAACTAAACCCTGTTGGTTTGTGTGTTCCAGTAATGAATCAAATGGCCACACAGTCTCAGCAAATTCATCTCTTTTATCCTCGCTTATGAATAAGGTAAGAGCCATCCATCAAACGCCTTTCATTCCCCCCACCAAGAGAAATTAAAGCTGCGATGGCAGGGAGGGGGGGCAGAGATGCGTTTGTTTTTTAATGTTTTGCCTCTAATAAGATGAGTTTGTACCATTTAAATTTTGAGACCATTTTTCATCGGGTATAATTTCAGAGCCACTGCTTACGAATTAATTTAATGAACTGGCTGAAGAAATATATTGCAGCCTCTGACACCTTTTTTTTTTCATCATTTCTAGACAGAGGAGGGCTCCAAAAGATATTTTTTTTTCATTTTTATTTCCAGAACCTTGCAACTTCTCTCTCGCTCTCTTTTTATAGTTGCTCATTTTGTTTATTTGCTTAAAAACGTTTTCTTTCATTGGGGGAGGAGAATCATTTGTTTTTATGAAAGAGAAGAAAAAAATTAGACGTTTTGAGGCAAAATCATCAATTTCTGTCTTTCTGGTGTGAGTAATGGTGTCCAACAGAGCCCCCTTTACCATGGTCTAGAATATTTATTTTAGATAATGCACGGTTTCTTTTTCCTTACTTTTTCCTTAAATTATACATCATCTCCAATATATATTTCCCTTTCACATGATAAATTCTACTGTACCAAGATTAATTTTGCTGTTGTATACAACTGCAGCAGAGATCAGGGCAGCCTTTGAGCCACGCTTTAGTATTCTGCTGTGGGAGAGGTTTTACAGGCATTACTATTGCCCTTGGCTCTGGGCGTTACGGGCATCAAGGCCATATAACCCCCGAGAGAGGGCAAAGTGACTTTGCCTTGTAATCTCTCGCCTCCTTTCTCTCTTATTTCATCGCTTGTTTTTCTCTGTGTTGTTTAATTTCTGCGATTATCCTTATGCCACTCTTCTCCTCCACTGGCTCTCCTTGACACTGGGTTTTTGATGTTTCCTTTTAAACTTAATTTCTTACTCGTTCCTGGGTATTGTGCCTTCAGCGATTTCCAAACATGCAAAGTGTTTCTCTAGTGAGTAAATCAATTTAGTAAGTCTACTGTCAGGGGTCTTGAGTCGTTCTGAAGGCTCCAGCTCAGGGAAATTCTGGTTCAGTAGAAACTTCACTTGAAAAGCTCCAGGAGAATGTGAGATTTAAGCATATGCTTAGAAATAAGCATTTGTTTGTGTGCAGCCCTGCATAAGAACCTTTAGGTTGTCCAAAATTAAGTGTAACACAGGTTCTTCAGCAAGGAGACGAGCCCACTGGTTTGAAGGAGCCTGTTGCAAGACGAAGGATCGCAGAATCGAGCTCGGCGTGCTCAGGAGCACATCACGCTTGCTTCCTCCTCTTGCCGCACGCACATTTCTGCTCACGGGGCGATCCTTCATTATTTGCCAAGGAAAAAGAACTGTTTGCAGCAACTGAATGCCCAGCGAACACCAATGGAAAAAGACGACCTGAATTTCTGACTCCAGCCATAAAGAGCTGCAGTCTCCACATAGCAGCAGGGGCTTTACCTTCAGGGGGCATTAAGAGAGCCTCAAATAGCCAGGGTTCCTGTAGCGTATTGCAGTTTGTTTAGGGGGCTGTCAGGCTTAATTAACTGATATTTATAAAGGGCTTTGAGATCCTCAAGTGAGTGGAGTTTGTAATGCAAGTATTGGGCCCAATCCTCCATTTCAGTCATGCTGTGAAATTCACTGTTACTGCAAATAACTGAGCATACAACAAAGCAATAAAGGGTCTGGGAAATTGTGTTTTTTCTGAAAAAAAAAAAAAAATTCTCTTTGAGCATTCTTGAGTAACAACTTCTTTTTATCCTGCACATCATACACCTGGACCTCTAAACCTTCCCTACCTAGAATGTATTTGAAGCCTTTCACACAATGCAAATTGTGAGTCCAAGTCCTGCTTTGTAGAGGAAAGGCCATTTAGCACAGAAAGTGACATAATTTCTTTATTGACCTTAGTAAGAATGGAACTTAAGGAAGTGGAGCCAGAATTTTTCCCCAATTGAATGAGATTCCCCTCCTCCCACCCTCAAACGTGCCTGGCAGTCACTTTAAATCACAACTGAGTGGGATAAGATGATCCTGAATAAACGAGAGCTTGCCAGTTCCATCTCTAGCTCTGGACTAAGAGACCAGCATTTTGTAGGAGCTACATAGAGCTGTTACTGTTTAAGCCTGCACACCTTTTCCACGCTGAAATAGGGCACGTCCCTCTTCACCTCCATCTCCACATGTATAAAAGATAGACACGATGCTTCGTTACTTTTCACAAAAGACACAAATATTAGACAGGCACCTGAGTACTTTGTGATATCTGGGTGGAGGACGCAGAGGAGCGAGGTGTTAGGAAGTTTTGCTGATGCAGTTGGGGCAGCCTCCGCAGACTTCTTGTCTTCTCTCTTACTCTTTGAAGAGTTTTTGTGGGATGGTCCTGAGGGTGTCCGCTCTGGCAATGTTCACAGCCGTGTGCTGAGCTTGATGCAGTGTCTGTGTTCTTGTTCCAGATGTCCAAGACCAGTGCCAGCCTTGGCATTTTTTCAGAAGGAGATGACAGCCAGGCTGGGGCTGGAGAGCCAACGCAATACTTGGGCAAGGCAGTGAAGGCGCTTGTCCAGGAGAAGCTCTCTGAGCCGTGGAAGATGTACCTGCGCCGGTAAGGACCGCGTGGAACTGGGAATAGAGGAAAGGGAAAATGACTTCCTTTGCTAAGTGTCTGACTTATTAGTTCACACTTGAACGCAGAGGTCTCTTGAATTTAAAGGCCTAATTCTGTGATACGCCGATCACCTGCTGGAATACGTTTACTCGTCAGTCCCAGGTATCTGCAGTAGGTCTTAATGTCCTGTAAGAAGTATCTGTATGCGCAGAATGATTTTGCAAAGGGATCTTGAGAACCAGCTACAGGCACTGATCTTCATGTAGTACCATTAGCCTGGACGTCACCTTTGGCTCCTCTTTATGTCCCCAGTCTGCAGGACCAGAGGACCCACTGGCGCTTGCTCTTAGCGCTGAACTGCTTCGACTGGGTTTGATCATTACACACAGATCAGGGAGGCCTTAATGCTTGCTGTGGCATTTCCTCTGCTCCTAGCAGTAGGCCAGTGAAACAAAATAGGGAGGAGAAGGGTATGGCAACCGGGACGGTTGCTGCTGGTTTTGTTGTAGACCAGAAGGCTTGAAAGGAAAATGGAACAGATACAAAACTCACCCACACACAGGCACATGCACATACATGCCCGGACAGACACGTGCTTTGAGCATACGCAGATACACCCAGGCAGACACATACGGGTTTGTGCGCTGACACAGTTAGTTGCCTACAAATGCTTGTGGACACTTCGTAAATCACAGCCTTTCATGGAGAAGACTAGAAAGTCTTCTAGTCCATCTGCCCCGGCCAGTGTGCGATCTTCCCTGCAGTCCATTTGCGTTTTGTCCAGCCTAGATGTAATTATACCAAGCAGCGTGGCTATTTTCTTGTCTCTGGGAGCACTATTCTCCCACCTAATATGTTTCACTGTCATGATCTTTTTTTCATGGTATGCTGCCTGAATTTTCCTATTTTCTAATTTTGTTGCAGTTCTCCTGGTTATATATCCCCTTGAACAGCAGCAGAAAATTCCTCTCCACAATTGGAGTTCACCCCCTTCAGATAGTCACAGACTTTTAGCATGCTATTGAACCAGGCTTATTTACTTCCTTTAATCTGACTTTGTAAATTAGTCCCTTCAGCCTGCCGATCGTGTTGCTGGTGCTGTTCCCTGAGCGGGCGCAGAGTTGGGCTGCCGCTGCCATACCGCCACACGAGATGTAACAAGCTTTCTGCCCCCACATCTGCAGCTCACAATTGTGCCACCCTGCCTGCACCATGTATACTTGTCCCATCCACTGTCAGACAGGGTTGTTTGTAATGTTGCTCTCGTGAGTCCCCTATATATAAAAATACGCCCCCCGGCTGTATTAGCCGCGTGCTTCCAGAGACAGCTCTGGTGTTCTGAACCCTCTTCCTTGCCTTGCCTTTGCCCCTCTCTGTTATTTTTCTCCTCTTGCACTGGTGTTGCCAACTCCTCCCAGTTTAGCGTCTTCTGTGAATTTCATTAACACGCTGTTTACTCCTTCTCCTGGATTACTAATGAAGATGTTAAATAAGCTCAGACCTCACCAAAGTCATCCTTGCAGCATTCACAAGATACCTCCTCCCAGCTCAATATGTTGCTGTTTGTCATGAGCTTTTGTTTACAGTCCTTCAGCCAGTTTTGTCCATGAGGTAGCATTCAAATGCAGGCCAATTTGAATTAATTCTAAGCATATATGAGACTGTATCAAAATGCTTTACTAAAATCCAAATATATTGCATCCCTTCACCCACTAATTTTGTAATTCTATCAAAAAAAGCAATTAAATTTGTCTGGCAAGATTTATTCTTTATAATCCTGATGCTGTTTATTGCTCATGGTTCCTTTATCCTCTAGATGTTTAATGATTTTCTCCTCCCTCTTAATATTTGTTCCATTACTTTACTGGAAGGAGAAGTTAAGACTAGAGGTATGATAATTGCGAAAGATCACTTGTCTGTCTTTTTCACTGAAAGAACAATACCTAGATTTTAAAAAAAAATTGCCAATTTCATAGTGGCTCCCTCTTCTCTGTGGCTTAACAAATAGCAAATAGTAATGCAATCAGTTTGTGAGTTAATTTCCGTTGCTCTTCAGGACATACATCATCCAGACTGTGGCTGATTTGTGCATATTTATGTTTTCCAACCAGTCCCTTTATCATCTCTTCTAGAAAGTCTTCATTTTATCCCTAATTGTCTGCTTTGTCTTTAGTTTCCCTTTCCAAAGCAGACATTTTTGACTCATCACCTCCCATTTTTATTGGCCCTTCTTTCTAACTACAAAACCTCCTGTCCCCGATAAACAACCCCTTGAGCTTGCAGGAACTTGGGCTCTTACCTCTTACCTTTACTTTCCTTCATCTTCTCCCTGCGAGCATTAACTGACTGCATGTATTTTATATCCACTGACCTTCCTTCTCCAGTACAAGTTTTGTGTTGATTTTTTTTTTTTCTTTTTCCTTTACCCTCAAACTGTTACGAGGTCCCTCCTGGGACTGCACAGGCTGCTGCTTGTTTCTTGCTTTCCTGCTCATCAGAGCGACTGCAGTTTGTTGTATCTTAATTATGCAAGATTCCCCTGTTAAGTTTCAAATCCTTCCTGCCAGTGTTTTTCACCTGATTTCTAGATTCCCTGTGATTCTGGACTTCCCTGAAATCACACGTATTTGTGCTACTAAGCCTGGAGAATCTCAGCTGTGGGTGAACAGTGAAACCATGCTTAGCTGGTTTTGCTCTCTTGATCATTGCATCCAAGATGACAAAAAGTGTAACTTAGACAATGGCTTTTGCTCTCCTTTTTTTTGCAGCGTTTTTTCTTTTGTACTTCAGAGATTGTGCTTTTCAGTATTTATGCATACCAGGCTGTAATTGCTATATAGGCGATACTTTGTCTCTCCCATCTATGTGATACTATGTTGTTTCAAAACAGGGGCTGGTGGATTCTGGGTCTAAATTTCCTTGAACCACTGTCATTTCTTCCATTTTGCTACTCCTGGAAAATTGAAAAAGAAAGAAAGAAAGAAAAAGACCTGTAATGTTTCAACAGTGTCCTTTTGGTGTGGATCGCTTTTAATTTATTGACCTTTGATTGTTCCTCAGTCTTGACTTTCCTGCATAGCTGCTCAAGAGCACTAATGATTTTCATCTTCTATTTCAGAGCAGTTCTCTATTTCGCTCCCACTAAAAGTGGATGGGAGTTTCTTGGTCAAGTTCAATTGGAGAGCAATTACTTTCTTGTTCTGCATGTTCAGAGCTATGTAAAAGCCAGTAATCAAGCAGCAATACCAGCAGTGCTGTTTGTGCAGCAGGGACAGGGACATCAGAAAACTCAATGGTGTTAGAGTTGAAATACCAAGAAAATACGCCTTGGAACCCTTTGGGGCCTTCCGTAAGATGCCTGCTTGTCTGCTTTGGCCAGGTTTGGTACCAAGGACTTCTGCGACGCGCAGTGCGACTTTCTCCATAAGGTGCATTTCCATTGCGTGGTGGAGGAGTGCGGTGCCCTCTTCAGCACCCTGGATGGAGCCATCAAGCACGCCAAGTAAGTAGGAGAGAGCGAGTCTTAGGAAACCTTGAGAAAATTCCGCAGCTTGCACACGGTAGGACGAGAGCAACACATTACCGAGGGACGGTATTCGAGAGCAGCAATGTGGGCAGTCGTGGGGGCAGCAATTTGGGCATCCACATGCTTTCTGTGTAAATGTGCTGAGCTAAAAACTTGGCAGGACTTTAGTTTTGTTTGACAATAAATGCACTCAAATCGTGAAAAAGTGTGGGCAAGGCTGAGAATTGGACATTGATGTTTTTTTCACAGCCTGTCTGACAGACAGTGTGTTCACGGAGACCTGTGTTTCTCACAGCACACAAATACATCATACAAAGAAATAAGAAAATGTGAGAGGGAAAGGATCCCATAAACCCGGACGTTGTCACTGGAGACAGACTCTTTGTGGACAGCTCCCCATCACTGCACTGCAGAAAGCACTTCATTGTTCTTTGTCTTGTCACAACAAATCTCTTTTAACAAGTTTTCCCTAGCCCTTAGTTCATATGGTTTAGCTTAAGACATTCACATCATGTGGATAAGGATCTTGATACGAAGCAGCCAAACTGTCCAGCCCAACAGCAACCGCTTTCTCACATTGCTGTGATCTCACATTGTAAACCCTTTGTCATTTCATGTTATTTTGGAAAGTAGCAGACACCCCAGAGCTTGGTAACCAGAACTGTAGGTTAGTTAATATATTACAGAGGCTGTACAGCACGGTCAGAACTCTAGATGACTCTTGGGTGAAGAATTAATTTAAGGTATGCTCCCACTGTTCCACTGAGGTGACTTGCAAAGGGTGGGATATTGGAAATTTTTCCTGTTGCAGATTTCTAAAGAGCATAATCTGCAGTTCAGAACCGCACCAAGTTCCTTTTAAAGGCAATGGAAGATTTACCTGAGTAAAGAATGAATAAGGCCTTCAGCAGCTGGCGACATGACTGGTTCTGAAAGGGTTTAAAGAGAAAATTTTAAGACCAAAATGTCTGTTACCCCAGTTGGTCTCTGCTGTTGGATAGTTCCCTGTGGCTCACTGCAACAATTGGCTCCTCACAGCAGCCAGGGAAGCTGCACCTTACAGGCATCCTGAGCTTACTCTGCAGCGGTTCTTGCATCTCTCTGATTTCAACATATTTCTGCACCCTTCTGTCTCTGCGCCTCTTGCTGTACCCCCTTCACTTCACAGACAGTCTAGAAGGCCCCTGAATCTTTCCACAGAGTTTGCAGAGCCCATTTTAGGATTTAGCCTCTGCTAATCTTACTTTTTTTGCAGACTCCTGCCATGTTTTTGTTGGTGTTTCATCAAGTTATATGCAATGGTCAAGACTTTTTGCCTGAATTACACTGTCTCCTTTTTAGTTTTCACTTCCGAACCGAGGGTGGAACAGTGAAAAGTAACTCAGAGTCTCCCTTCTCAACTACTACTGAGAATAAGGCTTCACTGGCTCCTTCATCACCATCTGGTACAGCCGTCACCATGGCAAGTGCTTCTGCCCTCGACGTGCCCACTCCCAGTCCAGCTGCCGTGCCCTCTGCTCCCACACTGCTCACTTGGAACCAGCTGACTTCAACCATACCCCAGATGCCTCAGATCCCAGCATCAGTGCCTAACCTGGCAACTTCACCCTTGGCAACGACTTCTCTGGAGAACGCCAAGCCTCAGGTCAAACCCGGATTCCTGCAGTTCCAGGAGAAGTAAGTTGTAGATGCTGCTGTCTCCTTATGTCCTCCCCACCCTTGCAGTCCCATGTTCACCTCAGTTATCCTAGGAAAAAAAAAGGACTTTTCTTTAGTATATCTAAGAGCCTCAGAGCCCTTTTAGGTACAAGTTTAGAGGAGCAATAAACTTCCTCTGGGATCAGGTTAGGCACTACAGCTTAGTTATTCAGGCTGGTGGAATTTCAGTCTCTGGGTCGTGTATTGACAGTCATTTCCCTGCTTTCAAAGACGTGTATTAATTCTGTTTCACATATCTGAGCAGGTATCATTGGGTACAGTGCGTTGGGATCCCAGAGATCAGTGTTCAGCTGTCTCCAATCTGACCTCTGTTTGTGCATCCAGAAATCCATGGAATGGGTGGGGGGAGTGAAGGACCAGAACCATTTAGCTGATCAAATAGGCCACTGCTGGTTTTGTCTAATCAGGGGAAGCCCTGGTGCCTTGCAGTGTGCTTGCCCAGGAGTTTCATTTCAGTTACACAAAATTGAGACTGGAGAAACTATCTGAATCCATAGAGGTAAGTATAGACAGAAAGGGAGAAACGGCATCTATCCAGATCTCGAGAGAGCTTTGCATTGTGTGGCCCTCAAAGACCACAGAACCCACCCTGCATTGCTGTATTTTAATAATCTTAATCAAGAAAATGCACTACCTTGGTGGAATTGCAGCAGCATTGCCAGCATCAGTTTTACTAAAGAGGAAGGTGGCTATGGGAAATCTCTAGGCCATGTCTGGAACAGAGGCTTCAGCTGGGCTCCCCTTGAATTAAATTTTGTCAAAGAAACAAACATGTGAAAGGAGTGAAGGTGATGATTGGGTTTTGGCTGTCTTCCAGTGATCCCTGCCTGGCAACGGACTGCAAGTACGCCAACAAGTTCCACTTCCACTGTCTTTTTGGGAACTGCAAGTATGTGTGCAAAACCTCTGGCAAAGCAGAATCCCACTGCCTGGACCACATCAACCCCAACAATAATTTGGTGAATGTGCGAGACCAGTTTGCTTACTATTCGCTGCAGTGTCTCTGTCCGAACCAGGTAAGAGCGATTCAAAAGCAGTGTCCTAGCTCGAGGATGTGTGCGGGAGAAGAAGAACAAGAAAGAGCAAGTTATGCATAAGAAGCGAGACTGAGTGTTTAACTCCTGGTCTAACCACAGAACCACGGAACAGTCTTAATGACATGGTGTAGCAAAACGTTCAGTTTCCATCAAATTGGAAATGGCAGAGCTTTTCTGTCTCTTCGACGTGCATGAAGCAGACAAGGCAACTGAATGACCTCAGAGACACAAGATGAAATAAAATAAAAATCTGTGGTGAATACCAGGGAAAAACATGAGTTAAGTTTGGGCTATTTCAGTGTAGATTACTGCAATACAGAATACATGACAGTGAGACAAAACACATGACAGGGAATAAGGTTGCAGTGCAGCTCGTGGAAGATAAAATGGATGTGATCTAGAGAATCAGTTCAGGCCTCCCTCTGCCTGTGCCTTGGAGGGACAGGATTAGTAGCAGCAGATGAGAGTGCATTTGGTTTAGATGTGGTTAAAGCAACCTGCCTCTTTGCTCTCTCTAGCACTGTGAATTCAGGATGCGGGGGCACTACCACTGTCTTCGTCCTGGCTGCTACTTTGTCACTAACATCACCACCAAGCTGCCCTGGCATGTGAAAAAACATGAGAAGGCAGAGAGAAGGGCAGCCAATGGCTTCAAGTATTTCACCAAGCGAGAAGAGTGTGGCAGACTAGGTGAGTTTTCTTCTCTTTCCTCCACCACCTTCCTCATGTGGTCTGTCCCATGGTCAGGATAAGAATGCCATGAGTTGGAGCCTGTGAGATGTGTTTGGTCATTAAATCACTAAACAAGAAGTGATTCCAGACAGAAAAAAGTTCCTGATATGACTGAGTTGAAGCATGTTTTCACAAAAAGACCCAGTTAAATGGATAGAAACTGTAATATAGACGATTATATATATATATGTCTGGAGATCCAGTTTCGCCTTTGTTTTACCTTTTTATCTAACTGTCAAGACCTTTTCTTGTTTATTTTTGTACTTTATAGTTTTGGGGTTCTACTGCTTGTGTTGGGTGGAGTTTAAGGATGCTCTTAGGAGCTAAAAAAAAAAGCATAGGGGAAATGCCAGTTCTGAGAAGTGTCTTGTGTGAATGTCTTCCTGTGTCAAGGAAGTTGCTGCCTTGCCTGGTTCCAAGCAGCTTCAAATGAAACTGCTTTTTCTTAGCTAGAGGGTAAATAACTGGAGATAGAGGTGTGGAGAAGAGCGTTCAATAAACTACTCCCTTCTCCCCCGAAACTGTTCTCCACAGCCAGTCGCGAGCAGCAGGAGCGCAGCACTGCGTCTGCGCCAGCCTCCCGGCAGAGCTCGGCTGAAGGAAACACCTGGGACGTGGCGCAGCCTCTCGCTGTGGCTTGCCCACTTGCCAAACCCATTAGCAGCACTGCAGTAGTTATTAAATCTAAGTGCCTCGAGTGTAAAGCTGGTAAAACAAAGGCACAACAACAGAAAGTAGAGTGCATTCCCAGGGAGGTTTCTAGAGCTGAAATCCAGGGCTCTGAACTGGGGGGAATCCCTACGATAGCTCCAGCAGCACTGAACTGCCTGAGATTCACTTCACCCTTCTGGTCATGTTTTGGCTTAACGGTATCAGAGATCTTGGATTAATGGTGGTATCACAGATCCTGTCGCTCCTGGTTGGAACAAAGAGTGAGCCAAAACGGGGTTCAGAAGAACACTTGTCCTCTCACATTTCAGGGAAGTAGCCACAATAACCAGAACCCAACTTGTATTTTCAGCTTTGAAAACATCTCGAATTATCTCCCAGTGGTACCTTGTTTGTGGTAACCAGGGTAATGACTGTCAACACGCCACAGCCAGGACTTACCTCGGTCTCATTTACACATGTCAGTAGATTGGGCAGTTGCTGTTATTTACTCGAGGTGTTTCAGGTGATAGCAAGAGCTAGACAAAGCAGGACAATGATATATGAGACCCAGCCTGCACGGATGCCCTGGCAACAGGCGAGCCTTCACCTGCCCTTTGCTGATAGTGTTTCAGTCCCGCCAGCACTGTTTGTTCTCCGTCCCAAAGAACAGCACAGCACGGAGAGGTGGGGCTGTGGGGGAGTGCGAGACCCAAACAAACATCAACTTGGCACGCACATCAAGCGCGATCTGCGCGCTAGAGATGGGCTGGGCGATCCAGGAGCTGTTTGGCAGCGAGGCACCTACAGACCGTGCCTGTGTCAGCAGCGTTTATTTTTGGGAGCGATGGGGTACACGCACCCAGCAGTGCGTGCACACACCTATAGCTGGGGCTTGCTGTGCAGTAAACATACATTTAGCCAGCACTTTGCATTTGCCTACGTGGCTACAGGCAGCGTGATGGGCTGGCGTAGCTGGATGTGTTTGTGTAGGTGTGCACGGTTATACCGACACAGAAACTTCTCTGTGAATCTCTGTGCTCTTTATGGTGCAGTATGTATATAGAGCAGATGCAGGAAGCACTGCCCTGCTTTAAGGGCTGTAAATGTTTCTGAACAAACACACGTGCCATTTTTTTATATGTATATTTATGCATGTATAAATGTATACATGGGTGTATGGGTGGGGAGGGAGAGAAATGACGATTATGTACATATATAAGTAATGGTGATAGATCGGTGAAGTAAAACTGAGCATGTCTGTAGGTCTGTACTTCTGCGTATAGCAGAGCACAGCCAAGGGATGATGAAGAACAGATAGAACCTGATTATTGACATAGCTCTGTTTTTATTTATCAGCTATAGAATGCAGCTGTTTAGGGTTGTCTGTTAATGAGATATAGAAACTCCTGACATGCATGGCACGCTCCATGAGGAGCAAAATGTGTCAAATGCTGTAGCCAGAATATACCGTATAAATTGCTTGTTGTTTAGTAGCTGCCCCTATGACACAACAAATTTGGAGTGGCACTAACCACTTCCTGGCTCATTTCTTATCTGACCAGAGAGCGTACACTGTCCAGAGCTAAAGCTTTTAAGAGAGTGCTTTTCTGAGAGCACAATTAAAAGAAAAAAGGAGAAAAAAACCTTTTCATTTGTAATCAAATTTTGAGTGTATATTTTTGGTTGTAACTTGTATGATACAGTTAAATGTCTTGGGTTTGTCCTCTTTGTAAAGAAAAAGGCACTAGCTAAGACTGGAGAGCATTAGGCACTTCTAGATGTAATGGTAATGTTCATTTCTTTACAACAAAATGAAGAGGGATGAGACTAGTCTGCAGCTCCTACTCACTTAGCTCTGCACACACTGTAATCCCCTCTTGCAGTTGCTCAGCAGGCAAGAAATGGTGGCTTTTCTTCGTTCAGGACTGTTCCTGAAGGACCCGTGGCCATCGATAATCTTCAATCCACCAGAAATCCATGTAGCAGCAGCTTTCTCACCTCTCCAGATCATCTTCCCTACATCCCCTTTCCCTCTTGGTACCTTTCATGTACTACATACAACGCTTTTGTCTGTGCAGGTTGCAAATACAACCAGGTGAACAGCCACTTCCACTGCATTCGAGAGGGCTGCCAGTTCTCCTTCCTGCTCAAGCACCAAATGACATCCCACGCCAGAAAGCACATGAGAAGGATGCTGGGGAAGAACTTTGATCGCGTTCCTACTCAGGTGAGTCACTGGTTTTTGAAGTTGTAGATCTGCATGTTGGTCCCTTTGGCTGCTTGCTGCAGGACTGCTTTAGTGCTGAGACACTTGTACCCAAACTCTTAAGGAGGTGTGTCTGCGCTGGGGGGTGCGACTGGGATATTGGAGTTCACCCGAGGTAGCTTTACCTGGCTGGACTCGTACAGTACAAGGAAAGATGATGAAGCACATCAAAGCATTGCTTAGTGTAAACAGCTTTTCCTTATGAATTATGGAGAAAAAAACAATTGAGAAGGATAACACTAAAATACTCATATTTACAACTTGCACTCCGTCTCTGCTCTCTCAATATACAGCAATTGGCTTATTAAAATTAAAGTGATTAGGATGTGGAAGAATTGAATGTGCTGGTTAAAGCAAACACTTCCTGTTGCACATAAAGAATTATTTCACTGCTTCCACCTAGGATGGGAGAACTACCAGTCACAAAATTTCTTTTCCCTTATTGATTTGGAGTTTGGAGCACTTATCCTCTCAGCAAGTAGCAGAGCAGAGCAGTTGTTTCTTTTCTAACGCATAACTGAGAGCAACTGGCAGATTAGGTTTCTCTGTTTCATTAATAAACTGAAGAGTTTCAGCTGCAGCACTGAGTGTCCTCCTGCTTATTCCTCTTCTATTTCTGACTTGCTTCAACTTCCATTGACTTGGGACATGGCACAAGCTGGCTTTATTTAAATGCCTGTGACTGACCTGACCCTAAGGACATCTTCTGGTATGTGAAAAACAAAAGGGGCCATCTGTAGAAGCAAGATGGGAACCCCCTTTCATTCCACAACATGGGAACGAGAGGTCTCTAGTAGTTATTAAGTACAGTTGATAAGTTAATTGTTAAAGTTTACTGGTGTTGGATTTAATGAGTTCAGAGATGCCAAGATGTTACTGTTGTGGTACCTTTTGTTCTTCACACAAAAAACTTAGGTACAAGAATCAAACTTCGGAGAGGTTTAACAAATAGATTTGTCATCACTACTAGTACATGCTGAGTCTAGCCCCAAGTATTCTAGCACACGCTGGGCAGAAAAAATTGCTAGTTTTGTTCCTTCTGTCTCCTTTCACTGGCAATCCTGTGTCACTGCAGCAATGGAGAAGTAGCACTCATGGCCTGAGCACTCCTGGGAGCACACAGTGCTAAGTCACTACTGCTGTGCTCAGCCCACGGAGCAGTCCAGCAAACCACGAGAAAAGGGTGAAACCACAACTCAGGGCACACAGCCGAGCTAACCAGATTGCTGTACTGCCGCTGCCTTGCTGCATTTACATGTGCTGCCTCCAGTTTGTGCCATGCCTTGGTGCTCAGTAGGCACTTCGTGGTGTCCTTGGATATACGTTGCTTCTGGGTACCTACCCAGAGTGGACCAGGCCAGGCCAGCAGCTGCGTGTGACACGGCGCATGCGTACGTCACTGGTTTCAGCCTGCGTGCCCCTGTTGCAGTGTCTCAGCACGCAGGCACTGCGTCGGTCACAGCAGTACTCACATTTCCAGTCTCTAAATGCACCAGGACCTACACAGTGAGGTAGTAACGCCAAGATTAACACCTCCTGGTTTTGAATGCATCAGGATAGTGGTGCCAAGATTAACACTCCCAGCCTCTGAGCGCTTCGCAGTTCACATACCAGCATACACGTGCCAAGGGCTCCCAGGGAAGGCAGGTTCGGGCTCCTAGCCACAGTGCCATGGCTTCCACTCACGAGCATGTTCCAGCTGCCCCTCCTGAACTGTGCCAGAGAGAAATAAACATGCAGACAGATGGTTTTGGTCTTGGCATCTCACTTTTGGTGTGAAAGTCCCCGTCCTGTTTTCTTGCTGCAGGTTATTGGCCACACTCCAAGAAATGAAAATCTCCCCCAGGTTGGCAGCATGGCACCCAGCCCAGCCTCATCAGGAACCCCAGCTTCCTTTCAGGGACCCCCAAGCATGATGGACACTGAAACAGATGAGTACATGGATTACACTGGCTGCAGCCCTGGGGGTATCTCCTCTGAATCTTCCAATATGGACCGCAGCTGCTCCAGCACTCCAGTGGGCAACGAAAGTACATCTGCAGGTAAGAGAAGGGGGAGGTGGGACGAAATGGATCATAGGTTGCCTGCTCTCTTGGGAGATAAATTCATGAGAGAGGCCAAAGGACAATTACACCTTAAGATATAAACTGTACCAGCTTCACAGTAGTGCCTCATACTAATCTAACTCCCTCCATCATTTCTGAGAAGAGACCCATCAAAATGTGCACCTCAAGCATCCAGGAACTAACAGGATTATCTTTTGTGTCCCCTGAAGAGAAAAAGTTGTGAGCCTCTTCTGTACTTGGCATTTCCCCTGATACCTTTTTATATTTCCTTGTGCAGCATCTGAAGTCAGGCACTCTCCTATATTGTTGAGGTATAGAAAAATAGCAAATATTACCAACACAGGGGAAAACAACCTACCACATCTTCAGAAAGCAACATATAAAACCAGCTCGCTGAGCTCCCTTCCTCATGCAAAAACCTCTTGATCCACTTGGTGCAGGGTTGCACAGATGAGAGCTCCGTCATCCCCTCTTTTTGGAAGTGAGTTTCTGCCGTTGTTTCCCCTTTACCAGGACAATGTGCTGCCATCTCCTGCTGCCCTCTATTGCAGTAGTCAGCTGTCTTTTATGACTTCTGTTATCGTCTGGTGGTGATCCAGGGATCTCTTAGCTGTCCTTCCCAGGGTTGTTACATTCTAGATAGGCTGACTCACCAAGTTTGCTTTAATTTCGTACAGGTTTTCCTAGTTTACTTTCCCACACCAGTTAGATGAAGGTATCACAGAGCACATGAAACCAGTATGTTGCACGTACACCGCTGGGTCATGGCAGGGGTTGCGCCATGACATTAAAGCCCCTCCAAAGGATTCTGGTGGGACAGAGGTTCCTGGCAGACTCTCCTATGTCCCTAAGCCATCTGGCCCAAGTCACACTTCCTAGGAAATGGCCTCCACTGCTGCCCAGGCAGCGAGCAACTCCAACCAACCCAAAATCCTAAGACCACCCTTACAGTGAGTAGTCAGTACAAGCATAATGAACAAGGACCAAACAAGCAGGAATTTCTGCGTGACAGCTTGTGGCTCTTCCCCCACGCCCCTAAAGCCACCTCACCTTCTGCAGAGACCACCCTCCTCTTCCTGATGCTTCTGTTTCTTCTTTGTTACAGTTCTGTTTCATACATTTGTGAATGTATTTTTTTTCCATTTTCATCATATTGCTTCTGCTCTTGGGTTCTCATTTCAGTTCTTTTTTTCTTTTTGTTTTGTTGTTTTGGTTTGGTTTTTTGTTTGTTTTTTTTTTTCCTTTTTTTTTTTCTGCTTTTTTTCTCTCCACATTCTCCAGGCTGCCTGGTTCCTTCTACTGCTGCTGCCGATGATGCCACCCACAATGCACCACAACCTCAGCCACCATCTCTGCCTCCATCTTTCTCACAAGCCCTGCTTAGGTCTCCCCTTCCCACCCTCCCCTATCTTTTCTCTCCATCTTGTCTCTCATACTCTCTGCTCAGTGCCACTCTTGGATCCAGCAGAGGCATTGTCATGCCTGCCGCCAGCACCACTGGGTTTTCGCCCATCATTGCCACTCCAACTCCAGTAAAAAGTGACGTTCCCTTAGTTCAGGATGCAGCAGGTAACACTTCTTTGCTTTCTCTCTTAGTGTCCTGTGCCCATCTCCTTCCCCACTCACCCTGCCCACATTTTTTTTCTCTGCACCTCTGGGTCAGCACAATAAGCCTACGTCACTCAGGGTCTTAACTTTATCCAGGGGCTCGGCCGTGCCTGCTCTTTTTGTCTGTTGACTCCTTAACCACAGCTAAGAAGGGTAACCAAGCAAATCACAGAGACACCCGAGACCAATTTACACCAATGCCAAGCTATGAGAAAAAAATCTAACAAAATGCACGGTTTAAATGCACTTTCAGCCTCTTGGTAACAGCAGGGTGGCCACAGAGCAAATTTTTGCTCCTGTAGCATTAAGGGGACTTGGAATTCTTGTTTAGATCTTCCAGGCCACCCAACCCAGTGCCTACCGTAGTCTGCTGCACACGTCTCAGCAGGTAAATGTCTGACAAGGTACCCAGTTCCTGTACTTTTATCGCTCTTGTAAGCTTCACTGCTTCTGATTTGTATACGAAGCCATAAAATTCAGGGCTGCTTTCCCCCACACAAGTACCAGAGTGAAGTACAGTCAGTGTCACTGTGATGACATCATCAGACGGCTCAGGCTGTTTCTCATACTCCCTGTTATTTATATCGGCTCTTAACAGCTGCAGAAAATACATCTAGATTTTTGGTTTTAAGCTGCCATGTTTCCCATGTGTGACTAAGATCAGAGATGTCTCAGGCTGGGGATTCTCATTCCAGCTGGGAATGTTTTTTAGGGTGTGTCTCAATTTTGGCTTCTTTTCCCAAGTCTCAGCTCTTTTCTAGTTAATTAAGGGCATACTTGTGCTTCAAGTTCACACTTAAGAGGATTCTGGCAGCCTACAGATGTCCCAGGCATTCTTCCTGCCAGTTTTAGTAATGCACAAATCCAAGGTAAATGGTTGGGAGTATGGCTGGAGAACTACCTCCACTTGGAAGTTCACAGGTTTTTCTCATGGGATTTGGCAGGAGAATGTGATTCTTGCCCTGTCTGGAGGAGTGTGTTACAATGAACAAAATTCACAAGAAACCAAATTTTTGTCTTTTTTTTTTTTTAAAAAAAACACCCTGATTTGCATGAAACATAAACATCTTAACCTTGTGCTGTGCTTTTTCTCTAATTATATGTTTTAAAGTTTATTTTCTTTTCACCTGTCTATAGTTCTGCGAATGTTCACATTATTAGTAGTAGTTGAAAAGACAAGTTTATGGCATGCACCTACCACTGAGGTTTGCTTGGGATTACATCTGCTGAGGATTGTAATCTCCAGCTGGGTGCTAGGGACCAAGCGTTGTCTAGCGGCTGAAGGAGGAGAGTACCAGGTTATCATCTCTCTTTTTCATGCCCTCGCTCTGAAGCTTTGCCTGTATGAGAAAACAGAACTGGTTTAACTAAAGTTTGAAGCACATCTCTTTGAACTGTTGTAAAAGCTGGGCAGATACATTCAGTTTAAAGGTAGCAAAATTTAAATTCAGCTGATTTCCCAGATTTCCCATCCAGAGTCTTTTCCCTAAGCTGATTTATCCCATATTCCTGTCTGAAGGCAGACAAGAGCAGCATTCATACTAATGATAAAAGACTTAATGGTGTGGTTGTAATTTTTTTTTTTAGAAGGAGTTGATCTGGATAGCAGCAATCTGTCCAGGCAACGATGCACTTAGACTAGCTGCCTGCAAGCAGAGAACTAGATTTTACAATACCAGATGTTTAAGAGGGGAAGCAGAGAGTTAATTGGTCACAGATTCTATAGCTAAGAGCTTGCTAATTTAAAATCTGCAGTGACAGAAAGTTACTCTTTCACTGGTAACTGGTTAAATTAGCCTCAACTTGCAGTGTCCACCAGCTACATGTCGCTAAGACGGTCTCGCCATGGCTGCCCCAAGCCAGCATCCTTATTTGCAGCCTGAGCTAAAGTGCCGTGTAACCAACGGGTGTGGAAAAATCTTTTGTTCTCTGCCTCCTTTGCTTATCCTGCAAATTGTATGGCCCGGCCAGGCGAGCAGCGTGGGAGATGAGGTTGCTGCTGCCACTTCCATTGACTTGTAATTCAGTACAGTGCCAGTTTCACTTTTGGAGGTTTCCTTCAGTGATCGCCACCGTCTCTTAAAGGGTTGTCATTGAAAGGGCCAGATATGGCAAAAATAGCATTCATCACTTTTAATACCTGCTTATCCGCCAGAAAAAAAAAGATAGTTCTACAACAGTCAAGCAGATGACTGTTTCTTCAGTCTCCTAGACAAGGATGCAAGCTGCTCTGGAGTCTCAGGCCCCAGGCACTGCATGTCACAAATCATGCCTCTTTTTAAGAGGATGGCAGTTTCAGCATGAA